GCCTCCTGGTATGAAAGTCTTTAACAGCTTCTCTTTTCATGTTGCTGTGATTTTTTGGATACAGTACAGAAGTTGCTGTTATTTCTGTACCAGTGTGCTGTCATCCACATATGATTTCCTGACAAACAGTTTAAAGCTGCTGCAGGCAGCTTCAGGTACCTCTAGTTTCCACACTTTATACTCATCATATAGCTTTTGCTGACCATGAGCCCTCATGCACACTTGACATTTTGATAACCCTGGTTAGCTTTATAAAGTCACGTTAAAAACATGAGGTTTTCAGCTTCTTTTTTTTAGCGTTTTTGCATTAGCGTTTAGCAGCGTTTTCCAGCGTTTTTTTTACCCCCCCCCCCCCACCAAAAATTTTTTTTTTTGGTAAAAAAAATCCAAAAACATTGGCTTGTGGCGTATTACAACATTTTGCTGTGTTTTTCAGTGTTAGACCATTTTTACAGCTAAAAAACTCCTCTAGAAGCCCACTAGTCAACCAGCCAAAAAATGTTGATTACAGTCTATGTGTGCATGGACACATAGGATAACATGCTGGGGGGTCTACTGGCTGTAGAAAAAAATGTCAAAAGCCAAAAACAGCAGCTGTAAAAATGTCAAGTGTTTCTCTCTTTAGTTCTGGAGACTGGTAGTACTGGTATGTGAAGCACTATACCTGGGGCTTTATGTAGTCTAGGGGGCATTCATGGACCAGTGCTTATGCCAGAGAGTTAAAGCTAGGAGCGCCAAGCCTCAATTGTACAGATTTTGAACACTTTTTCCCTATTTTGTTTTCTTGTTCTGCTCAATTCCAGACATTTGTGGATCAATCAAGCAGGAGAGCTGCAGAGAATGTTAAAAGCAGTCAGAAGACACGTTTATAGTTCAGGAAATGTGAGCTCATCTCTTCTTTCATTTGTTTGATGTTCTGTACAAAAGAAAAGCAACTGCATGTAACCAGGAATAATCCATTTTAGCAGTAGTTTTATGGAAATAATCACATAACACAAGAAGTAGAACCTATACAAAAGGAAGCCATCAATCTGATGCCTGGTGCAACCTGATCTCGGGGTAAGGCATTGACTATAAGACTGCACTGGATTATAAAGAATAGGTGGAATATTTGTTAATACCTGACACATTCTTCTATTTAAATGGCAAACACTAAGACTGGAACACTATCATGAAAACATCGTAGCAGCTACTTTATAAGAAATGAAAATATTTAAATGGAAAGGCAAAAAGAATCTTACTTTGTATTCTTGGTACAAAACATGCTCTGATTTAGTGCGGTCATATTCCTTCAGATACCATGTGGAAATACCGGACTCCTATAGAATATAGTGCAAAATGTACATAGATTGATATCACAGAGGGTAAACTATATAAAGGGTAAATTATATATTTCCCATTCTATAGATATACACTCACTGGCCAATTTATATGAGGTACACCTGTTTAATTGCTTGGTAACACAAATTGCTTATCAGCGAATCACATGGCAGCAAATGCATTTAGGCATCTAGACGTGGTAAAGACGACTTGCTGAAGTTCAAACTGAGCTTCAGAATGAGGAAGAAAGGGGATTTAAGTGACTTTGAACGTGGTTGGTCTGAGTATTTCAAAAACTGCTGATCTACAGGGATTTCCATGCACAACCATTTCTAGGGTCCGAAAAGGAGAAAATATCCAGTGAGCGGACATGAAAATGCTTTGTTGATGTAAGAGAATGGGTAGACTGGTTTGAGATGACAGAAAGGCAACAGTAACTCAAATACCACTTGTTACAATCATGGTATGCAGAATACCATCTCTGAACGCACAACACGTTGAACCTTGAAGCAGATGGGCTACAGCAGCACTGGGTGCCACTCCTGTCAGCTAAGAACAGGAAACAGAGGCTACAATTCGCACTGACAAAAACTGGACAATAGATGATTTGAAATTCAGAATTTGGTGTAAAAAACATGAAAGCATGGATTCATCCTGTCTTGTAATAATGGTTCAGGCTGGTGGTGGTGTAATGGTGTGGGGAATATTTTCTTGGCACACTTTGGGCCCCTTAGTACCAGTTGAGCATCATTTAAATGCTGCAGCCTACCTGAGTATTGTTGCTGACCAAGCCCATCCCTTTATGACTACAGTGTACCTATCTTCTGATCATTTCACTGTACTCCAATGGCCTCCACAGTCACCAGATCTCAATCCAATAGAGCATCTTTGGGATGTGGTGGATCAGGAGATTTGCATCATGGATGTGCAGCCGACAAATCTGCAGCAACTGCGTGATGCTATCATGTCAATATGGATCAAAATCTCTGAGGAATATTTCCAGCACCTTGTTGAATCTATGCCATGACGATTTAAGGCAGTTCTGAAGGCAAACGGGGGGTCCAGCCCATTACTAGAAAGGTGTACCTAATAAAGTGGAGGGTGAATGTGTGTGTACATGCTTTGTTCTTCTTTTAATCAATATACTGTATGTGGAATCTCTGTTACTAATTAGTGTCTACATGTCTTTGTATTCCTTTAGGTTGATGTCAGACGGGTGATTCTGCTGCTTGGGATACGTCTTCAGTGGCAGGATTGCCTGTCTGTCCATATGAAATTGTTCCCTCCATAGCCAGATGTAGTAAGATGCCGCTCTGTCACTGGCCAGAACGCTGCTGAATCTCAATCTCCAACAATGAGAGTGACATCTTGCTGCCTCAGATACAGAGGGAGTGATTCTATAGGAACAGACAGACAGACTGCATCTTAGCAATCTTGCCGATGTCGATTTCGATAGGAATGCTATTGGCAGTCACCTGTCCTTCAATAAAAACTACTGAACAACAAAATAGGTATATCATTATATTTTTTTAAGATATAAAAAATGAATACAAAACCACTATACATTCTATTCAAATAAGGAATGACCCACTTGTTATTGGGACAAGTGATGGAAGTAAAATTAATAAAAATTGCACTTACATTTGCAGCACAAATAAAGTTGTGGCGGATGTGTGACTTTATTTGAATTTGGCTTCTATAATGAGCACCCGCAGTCAGTGAAGGTGAGATAGAAGACCAGCTGGATGTTTAATCCATATTTCAAATTTCAAACTATTATAATACACTATTAGGGCTCATGTACACTGCAGCTGATAAACTCACATTCAGGAGCTTTTCTGTCTTTTTTTCAGCAGCCCCTGAACTGTAATGTTTTCCTATGTATCCATGTACACTATATCATTTACAGTTGTTTACAGGCAGTTGAGTTTACAGTCGTTTTTTTGAATGCACCAAACTTGCGTTCAGGAATAGATTTTATCAGCGTTTCAAACGATTGTTAACACGTGTAAACGTGGCTAAACGCGTTTATAAGCGTTTGCGTTTAGAAGCATTTTTTAACTGTTCCATATCCAAATGCTGTCCAGAGCCTTTTTTCATCATCAAAAATGCATGCAAAGTATTTTCCATGTATTCAAATGGTCCTAGCACACCAGCGCAGTCAGTTCCAGGTTTTGCATGAAGGAAAAAAATGGTAGAACGTGCCGCATTATGCTCATGATGGGATCCATAGTGAATACAACCAGAAAAGACAGGTCATCTCAACACATACTGCTCTCTCTGCTTCTGCTTCTGCTCTCCATTCCTCTCAAAATGTCTGAAATAGTTAATTTTTTACATTTTCAGTGCATTCTGGACATTTTGGAAGGTCTCCTGAGGTTATCTTAAAAAAATGCTTCTAAACGCAAATGCGCTTAAACAAGCATAAATGCGGTATGCAAACGTGGCTAAACAGACGTTTTTTTAACCTGCGTTTTCCAACAGTCAGTTTCCATTGTTCAGAAGTGTTTTCCAAATGTTCCATGTGCATGGAGCCTTAGAAGAATCCCCACAGATTCTTTGGGGGATAAAGGCACAGCATTAAACTGAGGAGCAAACTTACCAGTGATGTGTAGGGACTGGAGTGTATGTCATGGCAGGACTGGAATGGAGGCCAAGGTGGCAAATGCCTTCCAGGCCAGTTCTAACAATATAGGTTGAGCTGGTTCCCCATGTGGGCATACTTTGCTATTCAGACATTAGAGAACAGCTCACTGTCTAACCTTTAACCTAACTAAACTGGGTTATTTATCCAACTTTTATCATGGGAGCCCCTGGTGATTTCCAACCTCATATCCTTGCTTTGCGTAATGTTATCTGATCAGGCAGTTTAGTCAGCTTTGTGACTCTGTGGGGAACACTGAAACTGCCTGCAGTGTACCCTCTGTACCATCAATGGCTGATAGAACCAGGTGCCCTCTGCTCTCTGCTTCTAGGTGGAGGCTGTAGTGATCATGGATGACCATATTATTTCAGTGGTTACTTTAGTTAAATATTTTCATAGTATAACATAGTTACATTTTATTTTCCAATGTTGAGAATTATATATATTTTTAAGGCTGTGGCTGAAAATAGGGTGTAGTCAAGGATAAGTGTAGGTGAAAAGATTAGTATCAGTACAAAGGTATAATAAGATTTATCAATGACTATATAATGCCAGGGGCCTAACATTTTTTATATATTAAAAGGATTGTTTACTTGGAGCATTACACTGCATAGCTGTTGAAAGACCTAAAGTAGATTCATCAAAGGTTGCATAATCAGACTGCAGCATGTAAGGCCACCTTAAAGTGGTAGTAAACGCAGCCTTTTAAAAAAAAAACCTGCAAGACAATGGCATAATGTGCTAGTATGCATTGCGTACTAGCATATTATGAAGTACTTATTGTAGAATGAAGCCCTGCAGCCGTGTGCTGTTACCTCTGACAGAGCTTCCATCTTCACCCGGTTCTAGGCTCTTCATTTATAGAGTTATCAACAATGACCACATCTAAGCAAATATAGCATCAAGGGAGTCAATGCTACAATAATTTCTCTGCAGAAGGAGTATTGTCACCCTTTTAAGGAAAGTGCCTATCATAAGTGCCTAATGGATCTACTGGCAGGATCAACAGGTGTTTACAAATTGTTCCAGAAGGTACTTATAAAAAGAGAAAGCCTAGTCTTACTGGTATGGGTAACCTACATCACATACACTATATTGCCAAAATATTGGGCCAGCCCTCCAAGCCATTGGATTCAGGTCTTCCAACCACCTCCATGGCCACAGGTGTATAAAATCAAGCTAGGCATGCAGACTGCTTCTACAAACATATGTGAAAGAATGAGTCGCTCTCAGGATCTCAGTGAATTCAAGCATGGTACCGTGATAGGTTTCCACCTGTGCAATAAGTAATCTGTGAAATTTCCTTGCTACTAAATATTCCATGGTCAATTGTTAGTGGTAATATAACAAAGTGGAAGCAATTGGGAACAACAGTAACTCAGCCACAAAGTGGTAGGCCGTGTAAAATGACAGAGTGGGCTCAGCGCATGCTGAAGTGCGCAGAAGTCACCAACTGTCTGCAAAATCAATAGCTAAAGACCTCCAAACTTCGTGTGGCCTTCAGATTAGCACAACAACAGTGCATAGAGAGCTTCATGGAATGGGTTTCCATGACTGAGCAGCTGCATCCAAGTCTTACATCACCAAGTGCAATGCAAAGCGTTGGATGTAGTGGTGTAAAGCATGCCGCCAATGGACTCTACAGCAGTGGAGACGTGTTCTCTGGAGTAATGAATCATGCTTCTCTGTCTGGCAATCTGATGGACGTGTCTGGGTTTGGTGGTTGCCAGGTGAATGGTACTTACCTGATCTCACTGTGCCAAGTGTAAAGTTTGGTGGAGGGGGATTATGGTTTGGGGTTGTTTTTCAGGAGTTGGGCTTTGCCTCTTAGTTATAGTGAAGGGAACTCTTAAGGCGTCACCATACCAAGACATTTTATACAATTTCATGCTCCCAAATTTGTGGGAACAGTTTGGGGATGGCCCTGTTCCTGTTCCAACATGTCTGCACACCAGTGCACAAAGCAAAGTCCATAAAGACATGGATTCGCAAGTTTGGGGTGGAGGAACTTGACTGGCCTGCACAGAGTCCTGACCTTAACCCAATAGAACACTCTTGGGATGAATTAGAGCGAAGACTGTGAGCCAGGCCTTCTTGTTTAGTGCCTGACCTCACAAATGCGCTTCTGGAAGAATGGTCAAACCTTCCCATAGACACACTCCTAAACCTTGTGGACAACCTTTCCAGAAGAGTTGAAGCTGTTATAGCTGCAAACGGTGGGCCAACTCAATATTGAACCCTATGGACTAAGACTAGGATGTCATTAAAGTTCATGTGCGTGTAAAGGCAGGCATCCCAATAGTTTTGGCAATATAGTGTATATGATAATAGTTTTCTTTTGATAACAATTTTTGCATCTTGTAATTTCACTGTATGTACTTGTTATTTTTACTTTGTATACTAATTTTTAGAAGAACTTGCCTCTTCAGAAGTTAAGCCTTGTGCTTGGTTTCCTGGTCCCTGTGACTGGGGGGCCACATGGCTGGTTCTCTTTGGCATGTCACTTTGTGAAACTCTCTGGGAACTGTGTGTCCATCTTGCCTCTGTATTCTGATGTAAACAAGAAAAATGCTTATGAAATTCTTTTGAAACCTTTTAAAAGTGTAAATTTACTTCTTTTTTTTTTGTTAAGATAGCAGAACTTCTCACCTAGCCCCTAGTCACAAAATTGGATGCAAATTCAGCTTCTGTAAGTTAACAATGTTAATGTGCCAATTTTTATTTACATTCGTGACACCTGGGTTTGTAATCCTGAGCAGCCAACTGAAGCAGATTTGCACATGTCTGTTACTGAATTCAATACAAATGGCAACCACCCCAACCTGGCTGGTTGGTAAGTGAGCTGGGAATTTTTGTTTGTTGTTTTTTGACATGCGTCACTCTTCCATGTGCTCCTTGCAGTGAAGGCCAGTTATAGTTTGGGGCAGTTGCTGTTTGTTTGTACTGTTGGTGAGGAGAGTACTGGACACCTTCGCTACCATTGTGCTATTGCTGGGTGTCCAGTGCATCCCTATACCTTTAGGGAGGGGTTAGCTTCCTCCAGGCATACCTGCCCTTAATCTATCCATTATTATATACTGCATGTGCTTCAACTTTGAGATATGACAGCAGTAAACTGGGGTTCCATGAAGTGGCCCTGAAGCATACTAATATATTTGCAAATGTATGCAAACTAATCCCCTGGTTCTAACGTGAACTGTTAAGACAATGCGGTTTGCTGCTGGCTGCTAAGTGGGCTGTGAATTTTTCTTTGTTGTTGTTTGACCTACGACTGAATTACTACTGGAGATGAGATAAACGTTCATCAAGATGTGACAGATTTTCACTCATTACAGATATTTAATAAGGAGGTGGTCAGGCATTTTTCTTTCACAGTGCTACTTTAGAGCAGCCTTGCGCCAATTTATGAATCAAGCTGCCCAATTATAATACATGTCTTGCTGCCTTGTTTAGCCATGCCATTGTTTGTGACTAATAAAAGACTGCTGTGAGCATGTGAACTGCTGTATGAAGTAGTATGCACCACATTAACTCAGTAAATAGGCCTGTTTCAGATCCATCTGCACCACCCACATCAGTATTTATATCAGAATGAAATAGAAACTAGTACAGATCTGTCCACAACTAACAGAGGGAATACAGCAGTTTTCCATATAGAAAACTTCCAAAAAATCCTGCCAGGTGTGTCCTGTTATACAGGATGTGAGCAGACAACCCACATCCCTCTCTCTCTGCCCGTGTAGTGATTACACTACATGAGCTATGTAGAGTTACTAACTTTCCTCCTCCTGAATGAGGGGGGGGGGGGGGGGGACATCAGAGAGACTGGAGCATGCAGCTCCAGCTCTCTGTTCTCTGGGTTGCCTGTCATAGACACTGATCCCTCCTTTTGTTAATTAGGAGCAGTATCTACTCAGTTTTTTATGATTAGAAGAGCGGTGAGAGCTTTTGCTTGCACCACTCTATGTTAATTCTTCCCAATATGGTTGGAGTGCACCACATTCTTCATTGTATGCAAAATTGATACATGTCCCCTGTGCTATTTTAAAAAATGCAACACAAAGCGAATAACATATTTATAAAAATACATGTATGTGCATTCTCCCAGAAGATGAGCTAATATACCAGATTAAGTTCTGTTTTTTTCTTTTGATACTCACTACATTGGGAGACACATTTCTGTATCTTTCCTCTGCCGTGCGTCTGAGCTCGTCTTGTCTGCTCCTGGCATTCTTAGAAGATCTCGGTGTGCTCATGCTGGAAGTTGGCTTCGATCCAGTTTTCTGCTGAATTCAAAACATGGTAGGTCACATTGCAGATCAGAGAAAATCTAAGTAAACAATTTAGAAAGCAAATGGATTAGAAGATCATTTCAAGGAGAGCCCCATTAACCTCCCTAGCGGTCTGATGATGTCAGTATTTCTGTGCTCAAAACGGTACATTTTTTTGCATGGAATTATGTATTTTTTTTTATTGTAGGCCTGTAATTTTTAGGAATAACTCACTGAAATCTGTCCGAACAAGAGACAAAACATTCCGGGTATGTTGAAATTTGAAAACACGAAATCATAAATTATAATTTAATAAATAATTATAAAATAATTATAAAAAATAATAATATAATAATAAATTTAATTCAATAATATAATCAAACAAAAACACTGAAATTTGAAATAGAGCGCCAAGTTCGCACATCACTGAGCAAAGTCGCAAAATCGTTTTCAGTGTCTGATGACGAATTTCCCCACAAATCATTATCACTCAATTCTGCAAGTGGTTCTAATTTACTATCGCTGTTCTCTAGCTGGTCTAAAACCGCTTTTGACCTAAAGGGACACTTTTTGGATGCCATGGACATTTCTCAGTTTCAAGGCAGAAAGAACAGTAAAAATGCAGGCAGGGCACAGGACAAAGCACTAGGGACAAAATGTATGTGAAATGGTTTGATACAGTAATGTTTTACTATGTGATTTTAGTGAATTTAGTGAATGTCACGTTTTACATTTTCAAATATCCCGCCAGTTCCATCCCCGTACATCCTGACGTTGCAGGGGATGGAAAACCCAGAAGACAGATGCCGGCATCGGCCGGAGGACATTGCCGGGGACACTGCAGGAGGGACATCGCGGGAGCGCAGGACAAGGTAAGTGCAGAAGGGATCCCGGAGCAACTCTGCAATGTATTCCCGAGTGTAGCTCGGGGTTACCGCTTGTGGTACTGAAACTTTACCCCGAGCTACACTCGGGAATACCGCCAGGGAGGTTAAAGGCAAAATCATTAGTAAATAAGGATGGAACTAGGGCCATAGCAAACAATGTGACTACTATGAGGCACAGAGAAGCCAGTACTATCTGTCTTCATGGGACACTTTTTTAATTTATATAGCTAAAAAAGCCCAATTCCAGTCAGACTTTTTTTTTTATTTTGGATAGCATGGGTAGGAGTGGTAACACCTGTCAACTTAAAGCAGTAGTAAACCCAAAACCAAAAGTGTAATATTGCAGTTTACCAATATGTGGCTCCATTTGTTTTCTTTTTTTAGGCTTTTTTCCCTCTGTTTTCACATAGTGATCTGGCCTCCTGTATTAGAGTGCCCCCAATTCTGGATGTATGAACACAGAGACATAGCAGACAGCAACATTGATAATTTGGGGGTGGGGGGTGGTAGATGGACTAGCAGATTTAGATGCACTAACAAAATGAAGCCAAACCCCAGCTCACACTGCAGTTACAAAAGCAGTTAGAGCAACAGTTTTTTTTTTCTTTTGGATTAAAGATTTTACAGTGTTGTGAAAAGGTATTTGCCCGCTTCCTGATTTTTTTTTTTTTTTTTTGCGTATATGTCACACTTAAATGATTCCAATCAGCAAACAGATTTTGATATTATGTAAAGATAACCCAAGTAAAACTTCCTGGCCCTATGTGAAGAAGTAATAACCCCCCCCCCCTGCTAAATCTTGAATGAACTGTAATTAAGCACATTGTTTGCAAAGCTAAGTTAAATTTCACTTGCCATACCCAGACCTGATTGCTGCCAGACCTGATGAATCAAGAAATCACGTAACTAGAAGCTGTCTGACAAAGTGAAGTATGCTAAAGGATCTAAAAAAGCAACACATCTTTCCTTGATCTAAAGAAATACAACAACAGATGAGAAACAAAGTATGTGTCACACTTAAATGATTCCAATCAGCAAACAGATTTTGATATTATGTAAAGATAACCCAAGTAAAACTTCCTGGCCCTATGTGAAGAAGTAATAACCCCCCCCCCCCCTGCTAAATCTTGAATGAACTGTAATTAAGCACATTGTTTGCAAAGCTAAGTTAAATTTCACTTGTCATACCCAGACCTGATTGCTGCCAGACCTGATGAATCAAGAAATCACGTAACTAGAAGCTGTCTGACAAAGTGAAGTATGCTAAAGGATCTAAAAAAGCAACACATCTTTCCTTGATCTAAAGAAATACAA